ATCGAGCTTCGTGATGGTGGATGATGCTGGGGGACTTCAGCTCGTCAGTGATGAGGATGACGAGGCGACTGTGGAGGGGCATGCGGTAGAGGAGGAAGGGACAGGGTAGTACTCGTCGAGAAGAACTAGGTGACGGACTTGGTTTTTTCCGTGTGAAATTGTCGCACTTTCACTGAGAGAGTGAGTACTGGTTTTTGCATGGAGTTGTATGCTGTTATTAGTGTAAATGATGGAGTTGAAGAGTCTGTAGAGGAAGGGCCTAAGAAGATGAGTAAGAGTAAGCAGAGGAGACTACGTCAGAAGGAGAAGGAGAGGCTTCATGGAGCGTCGAGGCGAGTCAAAGAGAAGGAAGACACCAAACTAGGGCAGGAGGGGTCTCAAGAGCCGTCCGATGATAATGTGAGTATTTTGTATCATCATCATTATCATCTCACGTATTGTATTATTCCGCCCATGGGAGTTACTTATTTCTCACCTAGTATTGTAGTATTGCCAAGCTGCTGGTAGTACCATTGTATATCACTTTAGGAGCCCCTAGTATCGGAGTCCGAGGATGAGATAGCAGCCTCGGGAGATACCACTGAGCGGAAGCAGAGAAGTGGGAAAGTTTCGGTATGACAGAGCGTAGGGAACTACTTTCAGGAGCACGCCGGGAGCCGCAGCCTTTCACGTGGTCCGACTGCAAATGGATGCTCTATGTCCTTCCGGTAGGGCACCACTTACTTGTGATTCTTTGAGTCGTACGCAGTTGTAGTTGATAACTCTGTTGTTCTCAGTCTGACGGACATGATAGGAAGTTTCGTTTTAGATAATTGTGTTGTTGGTGATGTTGAAGATGGGAGAAGAGGCATACCAGGAGATGGGAGGATGGTCGCTTGGAGACCAAGAGGAAGACTATTACCAGGTCATAGATGATAAGGAACTAGGCACAGTAGATTCTCCAACGCCATCAATGAGCTTTGCTCGGATAGTGCATTTGCATTCGATCTAAAATAGAGATGTTCCGGTTATTGTAGCAATG